TGCAATACAAGGATATCTGCAAGTGGGATCTGAAGACCTTAAGAATGGACCTCAAGAGATGGGAAACCTTGACATCTGAGCGATCAGCCTGGAGGCAGGTGGTGCAGCATGGCCTCTCCTAATTTGAAGACACTTGTTCAGCAGGCTGAGGCAAAGAGGCAGCCCCCAAACCAGCAAAATCAGGGATCTGGACAGGGGACAGATTGTATTTGTCTTCAGCGTGGAAGGGATTGTCACTCTTGAATTGGTCTTCTCAGCCACACTAGAGGCTTTTCCAAGACCTATTCGGACCAGGTTGCCATAGTCTCTTGAGACTGAAGGATGCCTACACTTCAAGTAGGATCTCCATGTCATCGAAGCTAATGGGTCTAAGTACTTTGCTGAGAGCTTGGGGGGTTGGTGGTGTAGAACATCTTCTACTATCAAAAGCTCCATGTTCTTGCTAAATCCAAGGAAAATGTTGTATTCAAGCCAGAAAATACCTCAGAAAAAACCTGTAATTTGAGCTGAAAGCCCATCAGAGAGGTGACTAAGGCAACTTTTCTGGTTAATGAATTCATACTTCAAAGGACTCCTGTGTTTAATGTTTAACGACCAAAGAATTATGTTTGCACATTCTCAGAGTGAAATAAGCTCTTATTGTAATATGGGACCTTTTTATTAGTTAAAGATTACCCTTGTTGCTCTATGTTCATTGCTAACATATACTTTCAATATGTTTTAAATGTTTTGATATTTTAATTTGTTTTATATGGCCATTTTAATTATTAGTTGTTGAAGAATTTTAAATTGTTATTTATATGCTGTTTTTAATTCTTGTTCTTTTAAATGATTTGTGAGCCACCTTGAGTCCCGCTGTTGGGAGAAAGGCAGCACAGATATTGATGCAATAGTAGGAGACAAGCTTCAATAAATTAAATTAAATTAAATTAATATTTTTCTGCTCTTGGTTGTGAAATATTTCTGAAGTCTGCTGCTGGCCTCAGACACCTGGGACTCCAGTAAACAAGAATCTGGAGTAAGAATTGTCCCACCACCAAGAAGACAGCTATATCTCTCTCCAGATCTCCCTTGAACTTCCACTTGCTCTGCCAATATTTATTGTCCTGGGGTGGAGAAACTCTTAATCCAGGGCGTCCTGGAATCCCAGGCTAGATCAATGAATAAATCTATTACAAACATATTTTAGAAGCTAGTTTCAAAATTCTGAGCACAATTGCCTGGGGCATTCTAATTAAGAATAGCTCATAGTTGCTAATTCTGTTGAGTTTAAATCCCTTATTCTTTGCCCTTCCTTATCTCAGCAGATTTAGTGATTTGGTTCTATTAAAATCAAGTTTAGCATGTTTTGAAATGCTATTAAAAAGAGTGTAAGCATGGTTTAACATGAGGTGTAATCAGTTTTTTTACTCCTCTGCCAGAGGTCCATTTATTTTCATGTGGATGTGTAATTGATTCATTTAAATTAATTCATCCTATGTGAATGCCTCTGTCCATGTTAATTTTTAAGTAGTTCTCCCTCTGGTTGGCTCTCACAGCCATGACCCTGATGTTGTTTTATTTTTATTTTCAAATTCCTCCCATCTGAGACAGTGCTATACCAGATAGCTACAATTAAAAAAATTAACAATGAAACCAGAGGTTTGCTCTGTTTTCTGTAGGGCCCACTAGTCATCTGTTTGATGGCATGTCAATAGCTGTTCAGCAGCCAGGCAGGTGCTTTCCAGCTCTCTGCAGCAGTTCTCTTACCCTGGCTTAGAGCCAATCTCAGAGGGAAAGTTGGAACAGCCACATTTTGGCCAAAGAATCAGGAGTGTTAAAGAGGGCTCCTCTCTTGGGCCTGGCAAAAGTTCCTCTCTTTTTTTGGCTTGGCTGCCTCCTCTTTGGAGCTCAAGACTTGGGAAACCACTGACCTGGCTGGGAGGAAGGGAGGAAGAAAGAGGAAGTGGTGTTGGGGTTATGGTGTTTTGCCTGCCTGTCTTCCTGCTGCCCGTTCTGGGGTTTGAGTGCTGGCTCAGTCAAGAGACTCCTCCTTGGGTTAATCTTGCCTTATCCATCCCTCCACCCCACTACCTGGGACTGGAAGAAGTTATGAATGAATGAACAAAGGGATTCCTAAATGCTTAGCTGCTGGGCTTCTTCTCCACCCTCCCACTTTTAATTTAATGTATTTTTTCCTAGAGCACCACAACATGGATTAACAGTGCCATGACCCAGATTCACCGTGATTAAAATGCCGCATGACTGCCACATGACTTAAAACCAATGTAATTAACACCAGTACCCTATGTCAGTTTCTCTGCTCAAATTGGGACTAGCAGTAGGGTACTGGGCTGAGTGTTTTAATTCACTCTTAGTTGCACTTACAAAGATCATGATGGAGGTATCAAAGAGTTGCTTAGTGCAGGGCTCTGCAAACATTTTAGAGTCAGTGATCACATATCCACATGTGGAAGAAGTCAGGAGCTGCATGCTGCCAAGCAAGAATGAAGCCCAAGTCAAGAATTAACACACCAGACCCATAAAAATAAACTGACCCATAAATAAATAAATTTCTCCCCACCAAAGTGATCTTGATTAAAATTGTTGTTTCCCTTGTGGAAAACATTTACAGTATCTTTGCTACATCAGGATTGTTTGGGGACAATGTTGAAAGTATTGTCCACTCCTCCCCACACTGTTACAAATCCAGACCCAGATCCTTGACACAGGTAACAGATCCAGGATGACCATCACTTCTCTACTATTTTGCTGATGGCCATTCCTCTGAAAAGTGAGGAAAGGAGAATGGCTGGCTCCTGGGGCACCATTGGTGGACTCAGGCTTCTTTTGTGCCTTAAAGGAATCAACTTGATTAGAGAGCTGCCAGGGTAACCAAGGGGCCTATCTTTTATCCTGGAGCTGCTCATTACAAGAATTGCCCAAGACAAAACATCAAGACATGACTCATAACCTTACACAATGAGTTGGGGGAAAAATAGAACATCACTATTCTTGCATAGATGTGTTCAAAATAGGCTGTTTAGAAACATCTTAGGCTTTTTCACTATTATAGAATCTTTAATGGGCATGGCGACTGCTGAGAAATTCACAAAACCTTGATATTTGACAGTATCCTTCTTGTAGAAGCAGCTTTGGGTAAAGAAATGTTAACTATTTGTTGATTATCACAGATTCATCAATGGAGAGATGCAAAGGTTCATATTCTCCAAAGGAAGAGTCTGATTTCGATCCATGGCACAGGAAAGACCTGAACAACAGGAGCAGCAGTGTCACATGTCCTGATGTACTGGAAAACATTTGAAACCACCAGGCTGATGGTAATTTCCCTTGCAAATTTGCAGGAAGTTATCACTTACAAAACTGCAGTGGATTCTATGGCAATTTGCAACAAGAGATGGATTTCCAAAAGATAACGCAAATGTTGCAAAAGCAGCATGCCTCTTTTGCACAACTCAGGAAGTCAGTCCTTAAAAGTCACTCATTGATGGTCAGAGTTCATAGCTGCCCAGGCGTTCTTGACTACAGTTCCCAGAAGTCTTCACTACCAGCTGTGCTATCTAGGCTTTCCAGGAGTTACAGTCAAAGCACACCTGGATTACCAAAAGGTTGGGAATCATTGTGCTATAACAACAACAGACGTGCCTCAGTTGGGGGGCCATTTTCAAAGATTTGCCAGGAGCCCAAGAGTGCATGCTTAAGGGAGTTAGGGCTAAAAGGTTTCATTTGGGCATTTGATTTTCGCAGATGGCATGCTGGGAACAGAATTGCTTCTCATGTCCTCTCCCTTCCAAGAGGATATAGGGGGACTTTTATATATATTTAAATTGGTCTCTAGAATCCTCAAAGGGAGTTTTTGAGTTAACCGTTTTTTAAAAAAATAAAAGAAATTAAATCCTTTTTTTCAATTAATAAGAACACACTGTAGTAAACTGTGCTGCCGACAACCACTTCATTTGTGCACAGTAAAAAGAAAATTGAATGCCCAAATGAAACCTTTTAGCCTTTACTCCCTTAGGCATGCGCTCTTGGGCTCCTGGCAAATCTTAAAAAATGGCTCTGAGCCACACTAACACAGTGTTGCTTATCCCTGACCTATACTGGCTATCTTGTGGAAGGCACCCTTGAAGTCTGTGTTTTCTTTGACAACAATGGGACTGCCTGACCTCCTTATTCTCCATGACCCAACATACTGTAGAACACACTCTTGCTCTAAAGTTCAGCAGGTTGAAGATAACAGGGAGTTAAGGGATCATTTCATGTCACTTGACCAGTGAATTCCAGCTGAAGGGCAATGTAGAAATGCAAAAAACAGACAAGATCCCCCCCTCTGTTTAGGTTTAGATGGTAGTGAGCTGGGCAATTTCAGGAGTGATTAATTAAGATGTCTTCCCTCTGGAGAATTAGGGATCTCAATATTTTCCTGAATTTCCAATCATGTTCTGGAGAAGGTTTAAGGACCTGAAGGTCCTAGTGTCCCCCTTCTCTGGATTAAGGCAGATGAAATTCCATTGTTCATCTTACTATGCCTAATGGAATGATGGAATTATACTGTCATGAGAAAGAAAGAAGATACTTGGTAGATATGATAGAACAAGAGACAAGCACCCATTCTTTATCTCTCTTCATGGCTGCTTTACAAGCTTTGTAACTTACTTCTGCTTGTGTACAATCATACAGTACCAGCACATGAGCTGACAAGTGATGAACGGAGTTCTTGGAGATGGAAATCACTGGATATACCTATATGCCATTCTTCAGCAATATAGTCAAACAGGAAATACCATCCTGGCAATTAGCTTTCCTGGATCATATTGCTTCTTCTTCCCATGTTGCATCCTTTGTACAGACATGTAAACTGCAATTACAACACTCACCACATTCCACTGTGATGTCAAACATCCATTTTCTTGAGGTAGGTAGGTTTCATAATCAGTGATTTAGGTACTTGCATATATATATGAAAGAGATTTGGCTGAGATGTGAAACATTACCACCAACTGTCACTGGAAGCTGCAAAACATCTCCTCAGAAGATTTCCAGCACAGACTCAGTCAGGATAACACCCTCTCACACAAGCATGAAGGTGGCATATATTCTCCTGGCCCTGACCCTGTTTGTCTTGTACTCAGGTGAGTCCATCTTTCAGTTCTTCATCTCACATATTAATACAATAACCCATGATCATTTTAAGACAGTGGTGGGCAACCTGTGCCATTAGACAACAAGACTCAGGAGGTCCCAACGTCCCTGCCAGTCTTGGTTATGGCTGATGGAACTGCAGTTCTAGCCGCCTAGAGTGGTCCTGACACGACCAGATAGGCGGGATATAAATGAAATAAATGAAATAAATAAATAAACATCTAGAGGGCTGCACGTTGCCCACCCCTTTTCTAAGGGATTCCTCATGCAAAATGAGGTCGAGTATTGAGAACCATAGTGAATGCAGAGGCTTTCAAACATTAACACCCTCTTCTGCCTGCACCAATCACAATGGTTTTGGATAGCCGTCCCACATGGTTGCCACAACATTCAGATTGTCCTTGGGTAGAATTAGATACTTAGGTGGAGGTTAATCTAAGGAGTAGTCCCTGATTTCAGACAGAGGAGAGTGCAACATCTTTAAAAAGTAGATTAGTATTATCAATAGATTGAAGATTTTCATTGACTTTGATGGATTCTTTTTGTTTTTATTTTTTTAAATGTATATTTTATTCCTTTTTATAGAGATAGGGGTTATGGTAAAAATAGGGGGCCAGGTAAGAAGGGGGAAAAAGTAAGAAAGCGTAAAATTCCAGACAGTGAAAAGTATTCTTACATCTGCTTATACAATTGTACAGTATTAAAGATGGAAATCATACGAAGAGTAAAAAAAAACTATTTTCCATAATATTTATCATTACTAATCTTCCATTTTCTTGGACCTTCTTTTTCTTTTTATCTTTAAGCTTACTAGTTTTATAGGTTTAATGTTATTCTGCCATTTCATATCCATTATTCCAAATCACTGCCACAACCATTAGTTTGTGTTCATTTTATCATGTATTACTTCACCCAAAAATGCCTTCTTACATTTAACAACATTTATCTCCACTACTCTATCTCCATATTCCAACCAACATTCAGTGCCCCTCTTATCATGTTGTCTTTATTTTCCATTTTATGGACCACTCATCCATTCTCAAGAGCTTCATCCACTCCATATATTGTCTCCTTTGCCTCATCTGCCACAGTGTGAGTCCCATCATCTTGATTCTTCTCCCTTTCATATCGAAGTTCATAGTAAACTTTGCTATTTGCTGCACTTCTGCTGTTGGCATCTCCATAAGGGGGATTAACAAACTGGCTCTCCGCTGCATTGTATCTTCACCACCTTCTTCTAGAACCTTCTGGGGTTTAAGAATAAAATTGTCTGCCTCTGTGTGTGGTTTTAAAAGATTGAATCCCTGTTGTAGTTTCATTTCTTTCTCCATCTTCACTGTAAATTCCATTTGTGTCCCTGTGTCTTTAATTTGTTCAAATAGCTGCTCCATCTCTGTTTTCATCTGGTGCAGTCCATTAAGTATCTGGATGTCTTTCTAGCAGGTAGTGACCACAGTAGTTACTCACAATAGTAGCTTGGGGCAGAAGGTTGGCAGGAGGAAGGGCTTTTCCCAAGACTGTTTCTGGCTGCTTCAAAGATTTCAATCCATCAGTAGTTTATAGTTATATTGTCCTGTGGGCTTGGTTTTTTTATTGCCGCAATATAAGCAAAACTGTTTTTTCTCCCTCCCTCTTCCTTTCTCTTTCAGCCAAGCATCAGATCAAGGCATGGGAATGGTTGCCAGTCTGTCCAGATATAAGTCTAGTCATTTTCTCTTGTAGATTACACCCAGTCTCTTCATTGTATTAGGTCCTTAGCAGTTCCATGTATAAATCCTGCTGTACTTTTCCGCTCTCTGTCTTGGGACATTCCCAGCTCTGTGGCAAAGATGATGCCCACTCAGTTCTGCTTCCCGATTGCAACTTCGAAAAGAGGCCAATCCAGGAAACTCCTGGGCCACCTCCCTTCTCAGTCAGATTCTGTTGCTTCAGACTTTCACTTCTCCTAGCAGAAGTCCTCCCCCTCCCCAAGTTTGGAGAGGTCGAAACTGAATTGTATCGGTCACTTTCAGGATTTGCTGCAACAAAGCCCCACCCTAATTGATTCTTTTAAAATGTCCTGTCAATAAACAGCATTTAACTTAATTTTGTATATTGTGAAACATAACTATGTGTTCTCTGAAGGAAGTATTACATAAAATGTGTTTCATTTTTCTGTGATGAAGAGAATGTTCTCCAATGGGCTATTATTTGGTATGCAAGGCTGAGTTACACCTTTGACACATTTCTTGTTTTGATTCTAGCTCCTGTCATCAAAGCCAAAGGGGTGAGTGCCAGTGATGTCTTCTTATTCCAGTGCTTCTCACACTAAAGTTTTTAAATATATGTTTTCCTTGCCAGAAAGTCCTGATACTTGGTACCTCATAATCTTTTATCTAAATCACTGAGGCTTCATATCATTTACTTTGTGACAATAAAATAAGTCTTGCAACCCAAAGCCAAAGGAGACTAAGGGCTTGTTTACATTTACATTTGTCTCACAATAAGCTCCATTCTAAATTGAATCAATCTTGTGGTAATCACATAGTATTTGGATTTGTGTGTGGTACTCACACAGTATTTGGGTTTTCCCTCTTGAGAAAATGTCTAATATTTTTTAAAGCTGCTTTGTCTCTCAGTTGAGGGGATACACTGCCTTTTAGAATCATTGCATTTGACATGTTGTCCTGTTGTCCTCATGCTGTCCATTCACCCCTGCTGCTGTGGTAAAGGAGAGGGGGAGGGGGAGGAGAGGGAGAGAAAAGGGAAAATATCCTACAACAGGAGTGGGGAGTGGTTGTAAAAGAAGGACAGGCTGTGTTCTTCCCTTCCCTTTCAGACTCCCTGCTTCTGTCCATCCCTCCTTTCTTTCCATGGCTTGTGGCTCTTGTTGCTGGTGCTGCCACTCCCACCACCTCCACTGGTTACCCAAAAGCACAATCTGCAGCAACAAAGGGGTTTGCGTATGTGGAAACAACTGAAATACATCAGGCGGAATGGTATTTTATGTTGCTTTTCAATCAGAAGACACACTTCCCATGCAAAATAATTCATGCTTCCATTTATGTCATAGAGACACCTTATTTTAAACTATTTTTTAAAAAAAGGAGAATGTGATACTGCAGCAGTTCTTATTGTCAGTAGAATCAAGCCCTAGTTGGCCCTTAAAATGGTGTTGTTTTCTTTTCAGGTTAATTGTTTTCACAAGCCGAAAACTGTGTGCACAAAGGAGTATAATCCCCACTGTGGTTCTGATGGTCAGACCTATGACAACAAGTGTTTTTTCTGTTATGCATATATGTGAGTAGTCCTAGAACGAGCTGGAATTTTCAGCATGCATACATTACTGAAACAGCGACGTCTACGTTGTGGCTCTTGTTGCTGGTGCTGCCACTCCCACCACCTCCACTGGTTACCCAAAAGCACAATCTGCAGCAACAAAGGGGTTTGTGTATGTGGAAACAACTGAAATACATCAGGCGGAATGGTATTTTATGTTGCTTTTCAATCAGAAGACACACTTCCCATGCAAAATAATTCATGCTTCCATTTATGTCATAGAGAGACCTTGTTTTAAACTATTTTTTTAAAAAAGGAGAATGTGATACTGCAGCAGTTCTTATTGTCAGTAGAATCAAGCCCTAGTTGGCCCTTAAAATGGTGTTGTTTTCTTTTCAGGTTAATTGTTTTCGCAAGCCGGAAACTGTGTGCACAAAGGAGTATAATCCCCACTGTGGTTCTGATGGTCAGACCTATGATAACAGGTGTTTTTTCTGTAATGCATATATGTGAGTATAACTTTCACTTATCATGCACCTTCAGAAAAGTTTCTCTACACAACACTTATCTTGCAGTCTACTTTACAAACTATACACATTTCAGTTAGGTTGTGCTATTCTCCCTGCAAATATACTTATGATGGCAACAAGCTCTCAGTCATGAGAATTGGAATGTTTTGTGTTCTTGTTTTTCATTTTGCCAACACAGCTTATCATAGGCATCCTTCAGTCTCGAGAGATTATGGTAATATGCTCTGTATGGAGGACTTCGACGCTGTATGTGAAGCTGGAGTGTCCTCTCCAGAGCATGACGCCTGAGTAAAATAATATGGAGGATAGGCTGTTACCCAAGCAGCAAATTCCCCTCTTCACAATGCTGAAATAGTCCAATGGAAAGGCAAGAGGCAATACAACTGGTTCCAGCGATGTCATAGGAGTTGCCAGAACGACACGAACTGCCACTGGGACTTCGGCTCCGGATTTTGCCTTGAGGTTTACTTCTGAAGCCTTTTCCATGAGTGGATATAGCCACAAGGCAGTGGAGGTTTGAAATCAGAGTTTTCCTTCTCCTAGATGGGCTGCCTTCCCAGGCTGACGAGCCCCACCTACCTGGGCCAACTCAGCTAGAGAGTTGGCAATTAAAATCAATACAAAACAAAACCCCACTGCACACACAGATATTTGTAGTTAACACTCTTCACTTAATAATAGAACTGCAGTACTGGAAGGGACTCTAGATTGAGTCCAGCCCCTGTCAACGAGGCACAGTGGGGAATAGAACTTCCAACCTCTGGCTGTGCAGCCAGAGACCTAAGCCACTGAGCTATCCAGCAGTTCTAAACCTGTTGACATAAGGAAATCCACAACATCTGGATTTTCATTCTGTTTTTTGTTTTTCTCTCACCAGTGCAAGTGGAAGAACACTTAGACTGAAGTACCATGGAAAATGCCATTAAATATGAAGATGCATAGGACTAAAACCCATTAAGGAATAGCTAGCACACTTGATGTTTCACTCAAAGCCTCCCAACAAGGAAATCCTTCGGGTTCTGCTTTGTTTTCCACTGCATATCTTCAAAATGTCTTATTTTCATTGGCTAAAAGCCTATCAGTGTGAAGGGTTTGTGTAACTTCACATAGCTAATTAGAGTTAATTGGTGAGATACTGAGGCATATCTTGGGTGTATGTCTGGTCAAATGAGCAACAGTGCAGATCTTCTTCAAACACCGATAGGACTCTGTCCATTTATTAATAAAGCAAGCTAAGCATCCTGCTCTACCACGAAGTATTTCTTCTGGATCAGATTTCTCTCCCCTTGTGTTGACTTTATTTCAGGACCATGTCTGTTGGGATACAAGGGACTACTGTCAACAAAGGATCCATTGAGTCTGGTACTATACAATGGAATGACTTTGTAAAACACCTGCGGTGCGTACAGGTCATTGGTATGGTCCACCATAGCTTTCCAATCTGCTACCTCTGTGTTAGGTGTGGGAGGAAAGCCATACTTTTTCTCCAGGAGAATTGCCTTGTGACAGCTGGCCATCTGGCAAGTTTCAGGAGCACAATTTAAGAGGGGAAGATACAAACACAGATGTGCTTTCTCATGCAGCAAACATGGGGTATGATAGCTATTGGGTAGTCTTTCGGGGACCTTAACCTAAATGGGAAAGATCTTACACGCAGCAAACCATCCCCTCATGTTTATTTCCCCATTTCAATCATGCATGTCTGCCTACATAGCTTATTCATGGAGGGGAGACATAAAATGATCACTGCTAATGGGGAGAGAGGTTTATACTGCCAGAGTGGCACCGTTTTTAGTAGTGTGTTCGAGAAGCTCCTTGTTCCAGTCTCAGCAGTCAAGAAATTCAGGCAGGGACAACAGACTTCTAGCACTTTTTCCCCTGTGAAGAATGTTATGTGGAGGAAGTATGAAAGCATGACTGGTTTTGTTGTTTATTTGTTAAGTCATGTCCAGCTCTTCGTGACCCCATGGACCAGAGCACACCAGGTCCTCTTGTCTTCCACTGCCTCCAGGAGTTGGGTCAAATGTATGTTAGTAGCTTTGATGACACTGTCCAGCCATCTCATCCTCTGTCGTCCCCTACTCCTCTTACCTTCACACTTTCCTAACATCAGGGTCTTTTCCAGGGAGTCTTCTCTTCTCATGAGATGGCCAAAGTATTGGAGCCTCAGCTTCAGGATCTGTCCTTCTAGTGAGCACTCGGGGTTGATTTCCTTTAAAATGATGAAATAAAACAGATTAAATATTAAAAAATTAGACACATTAGAAGGATATATTAGCAATGAACATAGAGCAATTAGGACAATTTTTAACTAATATAAAGTCTATATATTACAGCAGGAGCTTCTCTCATTCTATGAATCTGCAATTCCAGTTGCTGGTGAGGACTTATGCTATGCACAGATTTCCTCTTAAGTGACTTCATTAAAGTGAAAAGTTGCCTTATTCAAGTCCCAGCAATGTTAATGGACTTTCAGCTCTCATTACAGGTTATTTCTAAGGTATGTTTCTAGCCTGAATTCAGCAGCTTCCCTGTATTTATGAAGAACATGAAGCTTCTGTTAGTAGAAGAGGTTTGATGAATACTGTACACATTAAAAATCCTGCCTTTGTTTAGCATATTTAAAATCGATTAAAAATTTCAGACTACACAATGCACAGGGAAGCATGGATTATTTTTTACTAAGTATATTTTTGATCGGAAAGCAAGGTGTTTTAATCAGCCATTTATTTCATTTCCTTGTGAAATCTATTTATTTTGAATTGTTTCAAGCACATGTGAATACCCCTGCCAAAGTAAATTGTGCCTGTGGAGTTTGTCAATAACGGATGCCAGGAGCACAGGTTTCGGGCTGCAGGGAAAGTATGCAGTCTGAGTTGTTTTATTTTTTTTCTGTCTAAAATAACAAATTAGTTAAATAACAAAATAAAACAAATAGATTATTTAAAATAACACTGGCAGTGGTGAGTGGCTGTGAGAGGCAGGAAGACATTGCAAACTCATTCCATTTGAGGCTTTGTGTTGCACCCTCCACCTTGCACTTCAAGCCAAAGATAATTATGGAATAGAATTAGAAGAATAGGATTGGCTTGTGCCCCAAGGCAAGCAGAAAGCATAGCTTAGGTTTTTAAAAACATCAGAAAAGAGAGCCAGCAGAGAGAGAAGAGTTGGGTGGGGAGGAAGTGCTCCCTTCTTCACAATCCTAGAAGCTGCTGGGCTTGTCAATTTATCTGATCAATTTTTCTTTTCTCTTGTCGGAGAGCTGCCCATTCCATTGCTCTGTCTCCTTCTCCATCCCCTCTGTGTGTGTACATGCCTCTATCTGTTTGTGAGTGAGTGCTCAGCTTCAGAGAAATCTTGCAGTTGGATTTGTTTTATTTTTTTCCTGTCTGTCATACTAAACTTGTGCTATTCCAGTTTGAAAGAAATAATAATAAAACATATTTAAAACAACATCACAGGAGCAGGGGTCTTTTAATTTTGTGGCTATTCTCACCATCTGCAGTGATCATGGAGCCCAAGAAAATAAAATATGTCACTGCCTCCATATCTTCCCCTTCTATTTGTCAGGAGGTGATGGGACCAGCGGCCATGATCTTCGTTTTTTTGATGTTGAGCTTCAGACCACTTTTCGCGCTCTCCTCTTTCACCCTCATTAAGAAGTTCTTTAATTCCTCCTCATTTTTTGCCCTCAGAGTGGTATCATCTGCATATCGGAGGTTGTTGATATTTCTTCAGGCAAACTTAATTCCGGCTTGGGATTCATTCAGTCCACCTTTTGCATGATATATTCTGCACAGAAGTTAAATAAGCAGGGAGACAATATATAGCCTTGTCATACTCCTTTCCCAATTTTGAACCAATCAGTTGTTCCATATCCAGTTCTAACTGTTGCTTCCTGTCCCACATATAGGTTTCTCAGGAGACAGATAAAGTGGTCAGGCACTCCCATTTCTTTAAGAACTTGCCATAGTTTGCTGTGGTCCACACGGTCAAAGGCTTTTGCTTAGTCAATGAAGCAGAAGTAGATATTTTTCTGGAACTCTCTGGCTTTCTCCATAATCCAGCGCAAGTTAGCAATTTGGTCTCGAGTTCCTCTGCCTCTTCGGAATCCCGCTTGTACTTCTGGGAGTTCTCAGTCCACATACTGCTGAAGCCTACCTTGTATGATTTTGAGCATAACCTTGCTAGCGTGTGAAATGAGCGCAATTGTACAGTAGATGGAGCATTCTTTGGCATTCCCTTTCTTTGGGATTGGGATGCAGACAGGTCATAGTGGAGAGTTCTGACTAAACGCGATCCACCTGGAGCAGGAACTGGCAAGCCACTCCAGTATCTTTGCCAATAAAACTCCATGGACAGAAACAAAAGGCAAAATTCTTAGGGGGTGGAGATTTTCAGAGTTGCCCCTACCGGGCTTGGTCATTTGAGGAGGGGACAGGGCTGGGTTTGTGGAGGGGACAGTGGCACCCCCACCAAGGCTTTATTGATGTCTGGCTGCCACACCACTGGGTACACTGTATTTCACTGTCTGTCCTGCGTTAGAGCAGCCCAGCATCAGTCATGGCTGGAAACCCCATGGGCACACAAAGTCACCCCCTCAGGCAGTGGAAAGGGGGTTTGAGGCTGAGACTCCACCCTAACCCCACTCCACCTGAAGGCAATGTGGGCAAGGCCCTTGCTGCAGGTCCCACGTGGTTGCATCCCAGCATCTGCCACCTGAGGCAGCTGCTTTGCCTCCACATGTCACAAGGAGAGAACATGCAACTGGCTGCCTCCCCATTGCTCCTGGAGGTGCAGCCAGCCAGCTGATCCTATCCAGGTGGCCAGAGAGCTGACCACTGTTAGCTACCGAATAATGACATGAGTGGGGCTACCGAGGTCTGAGTCTCTGGCTGGCCCTGCTATTGATGACCAGATGGGGAGACAGGCACAGACACACCCTGGTGCATTGGAGCTGCAGTCTAGGGGGCACAATAATTGCTTTGCCCCTGGTGCTGGCAACCCATGTCATGCCACTGCTCTGATCAAAATTGGTGACTGCTGCATATCCACCATGCCTACTAGATTATGTTTTCCAGTACAAGTTAGAATTGCAAAACAGGAGACCACAGGATCATATATGCCGGTTGTTCTTTGCAAAACCATATTTGAGTAATGCGTTACATTTTGTGGTTATTTCTGCAACTGTGGCAGAGCAATTTACGATCACAGTGTGTGTGCAATGGGGAGGAGATACAACTCAGCAAATCAATATAATCAACAATATGAGCACCTTAGTGTCGCGGTTTGGTATCTGTCCTGAGGCATTTTGGCACACAGATTTACCAGGAGGTCAGAGGGGAAGGCCAAAAACAGTCAAGAAGGGGCCTAGTACAAGGAAGACACACCAGATTAGAGCATCATAAGTCTTGCCAGCCATACCACCAGCGATACTACCACCACACACACTGAGCTGTCAATAAACTATTTAGACCCATTAGCTTCCATGAGCTGGAGATCTTACTTGGTGCCCTATATAAATGCAATACAGTACTCTAAACATAACAGATCTCATTGTGACAGAGGGACTCCCATCTCTCTCTCTCTCTCTCTCATTTTAAAAACCTGTATCTCCTTTTAGAAGTCTACAAGGCAATTTGAATAAAATGAAGTTTTGTCTTCCCAAGTGGGACCTTTAGAGCATCTACTAAAGCAGATCAAGAAGATAGAGGTGTTGATTCCAGTTTGGCTGAATTCTTCTCAGAGGAGGGCCCTGGAACAAATGACATAGAGGAAACTGCAGCCACTGGTGATCCAGGTGTCACAGAGGGGGTTGCAGAATCCAGGCCCAGAGTCTCAGAGGACCTGCTTCCAAACCAAGAGAATAGTGTTGGACAACAGCACAGGTCACACAGGAACCAGTGCAGTGCCTGGCTCCAAGGGAGGTCTTCTTGGAAGAGCTGAGCCCTGCTGGGCCACAGGTCAGCTTAGCTGTGGAAGGCTCAATTGAAGCCCAAAGAAATTATTGCAAGTGTTCTCTGCTAGTCCCAGAAATCTGACATTCCATCAGAATCTTGAACCTTTTGCCTGCAGGTGAATGACTTAGTCCGTATCTTGGTTTTCGTTTGTGTTTTTGCCATTTTGTTTGCTAGCTTCTTTTATCTTCAGGCCACCTGGCCTTGACATTCCTCCAAATACTGTCCCAACTATCCTCTGTTTCAGCGGACAACCCGGTAGGACTATGCTTTATGGCACAACTTTGATTATTAT